CACACACACACACACACACACATACACACATACAAATACCGTACACACACGTACACAAACACATACATGCATATACACACGTATATACACGTACACAGATGCATACAAAAAGTTCACATTCAATTTTTGCAACATTTCAATAAATTCTGAACAATATCATTTTAATTCTTTACCGGAAAATAAATGATGTAAATGAAAAGAGGAATGAATGAATGATTGAAAAGAGAAAATAATTGTACCGGAAAAGGTGACGAAAGATTAAAATGTTTCCTAAATCCTGTACTGACAAACGAAACATTTCAAACGTAAAAATGTTTATTGTCAACAATTTGATTGATCTGATCCGATCAATTCGGTCATTGCCATTATTTACTTTTATTTGTCAATTGTAAATTTTACGCTTCGTATCACATCCACTCATTTCGTCCATTGTTCAAATTTCATCAACTGTTAATTTTAGAATGGGATCCTGTACAAAATGCAATAATTTGTTTGTGCATTCAAATATCATAAAGAATTGACATTAATTGTTTACCTTGGCCGAGTTATTTGTTCAACTCGTGTCATTTCAGGGCAAAATATAATTGTTACAACTAAGTGGAAAATTTCTCGTCGATAGATTAAAACGGGAAAATGTTTTCATCATCCATTTTTACATGCTTCTTTTTTTTTTCTTGTTCCTTTCTTCCTCTTTTACATATCAAATTTAAGTCATACTCGGGGAAAGGGGGCATCATCATCATTATCTTAAACTTTTTCGTTTTCTTTTTTTGTTTTTTCAAACTTTGAGGGATTGATTAAATTTTTTTAAATTCATTATTTGGAATTTAAATTTTTTTTTTATCAACAGTATTACTATTTCGCATAGTTTCTAGCATACCTGAAAAATGATTTCGCTATTTGGACATTATAAAATGAAACAAAAAAAAAAAATAATCGATTTCTAAAAATTAAAAAAAAGAAATCACTTATCGAAATGGAACTATTTTGTAAAGTTGAATTATTTCGCAAATGTTAAATGTTTGTAGTATCGTATAATATTTTACGACTCAATCACAAAAATTATTAATTTCCGATAGTTTAGTCACGTAAGAAATTTAATTTTATAACCTCTGTTAAAATAATTTAACACAATTTTAGATGGTACTTTGGGCCAATTCGACGAGTTGATGCTGAAAAATTATTGCTACTAAATAATAATGAACATGGCGCATTTCTTGTACGCGATTCCGAAAGTCGACAAAATGATTTCTCATTATCAGGTCAATCATTTAATCATTCCTTGGTTATAAGATTTTTTCATTCCTCTGCAAAAATTTCATATTTTAAATTTCAATTATTGTGGAATAATTTTCATTTCAATGCTAATTACAATCTTTAAAATTTTGAAATTAATTGAAATCCTTTTTTTCTCGTTTTATTGACAATTATATGTTGCGAATTTTGTTTTTAAACTTCTTAATTTTAAATTTATATTTTTGACATTATTGTTATAGTACGTGATGGTGACGCAGTGAAGCATTATCGAGTTAGACAGCTGGATCAAGGTGGTTTCTATATAGCTCGAAGGCGATCTTTCTGTACGCTTGTTGAATTAATTATGCATTATCAACGTGAGCAAGATGGATTGTGCGTACTACTCAAACATCCCTGTAAACGTATTGATGTTCCACAAACGTGTACATTTACATATGATGATCAATGGGAAATCGATCGACGATCAGTTAGATTAGTTCGACAAATTGGTGCTGGACAATTTGGCGAGGTTAATGATCATTCTTAGCTTCTTCTTATTAATTATTCTTAGCTCTTTCGTTATTCTTTCTGTATTTTTAATGAATAATTCAGAAATTGTGACAATTTTCAAGTATTTATAAAAGGAAAAAAATGCAATCTTAATTGAATTGAAATAGTCAATTTTCATTTCATCAGCCGGTTATGCTCTTAAATCTTAGAAGTACTCTACTCTTTTAAATTTTTATACAATTTAAAGAATGCTTTAAAAAAATTGTTGATTTACGCTCTCTTCATTTCATGTAAACTTTTCAACACTTCTTCTCACTTTATTTCTTCCATCTATTTCTGA